CCGGGTTCACGTAAGTCAGGGTAGCATAAGTCGAGGTATTACTGTATATATTTTCTTTGAATGCACTTTATTGTGCTTGTGAAACAATCAGACACTGGGCAGCTTTTTATTCTTTTTTAGTTGATACGCATTTCGGGCTCTTTATTGTGCTTGTGAAACAAAGACATAGAATGACACTTTTTTCAAATTAGTAAAGAAATATATATATTTTTTTGATAAGTTATTTTATTGTTTATAAATTAGAATAAGACAGCTTTCAGCTTATGAAATTTAAATGCTAAATTTTACAATTATAGATGATCAAACTACAACAACAAAGGTTAAGTGATATGAAGAAAACACTACAGAGGGAACTGAAAATTCAGTCAGGGACTGATGGAATCTTACCCATTGATAGTGCAGAAATTCCAATGATTCAGCCAACAGATAGCAGAATATCATCGGGTTGGTCTCAAAGTATTCCAAATAAAAAAAACTATCATGTTGATGGTGATGACGACATAAATTTTCAGTATTTAAAACATGTCATCTTCAAATTTATGACCAGTGAAGATTATGAGGTAAAGCATTTTATAAATTTAAGTACAGATAAAATCTCCCTAATCTGAAATTCTTGGAACCAAGAATGTTTTGGATTTTGGAATACATGATATGATTTAGTTGAATAGAATTGTCAGTATCAGATCTTTTTGATATTTTTAACAATATATAAACAACCCAACAAAATTAGTAGTCAAATACATTTGCCTGTACAATATGGTGGTTTACTGAATCATAACAGTATGTTGTGGTCAGATGCACTTTTGCATTACCTTTCATGGTAGAACAGTAATTCATAATCCTGTTCTAAATGGCTTCCTGCTGTGAAAGCAAAGATAAAAATTTTGGAATTTCAGATTGGGGATAATCACCCTGTATAAATATGAAGTTGTTTTGTCACTGAAAATACATTTCAAACTTTTTCAGGCACAACATCTGATAAAGGCAATTTCAGTATTGCTTCATTTTACTTCAGAAGAAGAAAAGTTGATCAAACAAATGATGGAGTGGAAAATGTCTTGGTTTAGAGCAAGACCGCGAGTTAAGGGACATCCTTTAATATCTTAAAGTATCAATTCTTATGGAAGATGCTTGTTTCCATTATAAATTAAAGAGACTACAATATGGGGCCAGTACCTACGGAGATACACGGCACTAAAATGATCTATTTATTGTGCGAATTTGTTAAAATTTCGAAAATTTATCCTTTATGCAAATATTTATAACAGTTCATACATAAAATATCATTGAATGGCAAAATAATTGTTAATATCATTTTAATATTCTAGTCGTGAAAAAGGAAATAATAATAATAATAATCAGTTTTTATATATATATGAATGACTGTACAAAACAAAGCAAATTTATGCTAGTTGTTTATTGACGTGCAGAAGGACTTCCATTTGTAAGTGTGTTTTTATTTACTTAAAACTAAAAAAAAGTTTATTATCTTAAAAAAAAATAGTGTTTCTTTTTGTTTCAAAAGGCAGTTTACTAATTTCATAATTTGTATATATTTGGACAATTAACAAAACACTAAAAATTCAGTTTATCATCACTAGCTCAGCAGGTAATTATAGAATTTATAATAATGATTTTATTCCATTTCTTCCATTAAAAATGGATAATTTTAGCTTATTGAAACATCATTATTATATTCTGCCTAGTCTGCTGCTTTAAAGAACTTGTGAAAGTCAGAACAAAAATATATGTTTATAATAACAACAATTTTCCATTGTATATAAATCCAAGAATGTATGATAAATACTTTTTGATTCCAAGAATCTTTTTTTTTTTTTTTTTTTAGTCTCAAAAGTTAGCTGTGCCTGACATTGTGAGTCACAAATGTGACATTTTGCATACTGCCGTCCATTTTTATTGTCTGAATTATGGTCAATACCATATAGATGTTTAATACTGTTTAACGAATAAGAATGAATATTATTATTTATCTGCAAGTGTATAGAAAGGCTATTAAATATTTCAAAACTTAGTTAAATGTGTTTGTTTAAGGGCATTCTGTTTAGGACATTTTTGTTTTAACAATTATAATTTATTACTTTTTGAACACACTAGATATAAGTTCCAATTGAGGACTACTACAAAACTGTGACCTCCTCCCATTGCTTGGGTATTGTTGTGGCATGATGTTAGGTATACACAATATATTTCCACATATTCATCATGTACTGTACATTGATTCATTTGTTCAGCAATTTAAGAAGGAAAGTATATCTTGTGCATAGAATTCCATATCATCTTTACAGTAGTACATGGATAAATTTGTATCAATCTTTCATAAGAACACTAAAGTAGACAATTTCCAGAAATATGTTTCTTCAGAAATCTAAGCCATGTCGCCCCGCATTACCATTGTTAGCAAGCCTTGCTGATATGTTCTAGACTGAAAATAGGAAGTCAGTTTTGATCACACCAGGTACAGACAGTTATGTTAACTTTTTAAGGAAATTTTGGCCAATCTTGTATTTAATCTGTTTGAGATGAAATTNACAATAAATAATAAATTTCTGAAAATTTTTATGATTTCACAGATGATATCTTGACTTTTTCCTAATATTTCTCAAACTATTAAATTGATATATGGAGTGTAATAATTTTCTTGAATTAATGAAATCATATTACAAGAAAGTTGTAGCATAATTTTTAGCTAAAACATTTTGTTTACAAAATTGTTATAACTAGTAATGATATTAAAATCAGAAAGATTTTATTATGAGACACTGAATTTAGTTTTTTAGTAATATTATAGAATAGCTGTTATTGGAGAAGTATTAACAAAACTCAAAGTGGTGTCAACATGTTGTTGCATTGACTTACGCTGTCAACTTGTGAACAAAATTTAGGGATAATTAGTTAGATTTATTTATTTAAAAAGTTATATATTTTAAATTTTATTCTTCAGATAATTAAATTCTTAAATTTTTATCTCTTACTACTACATTTATATAATATTTCAGGTTAGCCAATTAGAAAAGGATTACAATTCAGTCAGTTATACTAAAGAACAACTTAATTCTCACTTGCAAGAGAAAGAAATAGAATTGCAAAATATCAGCCAGGGTAATTAATTTGCTTATAATAATTTTTTATGTACAAAATATATGTTAAATGAAACTTTATATTTTAAGAAAAAGATAATTTACTTGTACGTAATGCTGAATTGTCTCACCAATTGGAGATTACAAAACAAGAATTGAAAGAAGAACAGAATTTGAGGGAAAGAGAGAGAGAGAGTTATGAAGAAAAAATACATCAGTTGAATAATGAATTAGAATTACATGAAATGAAAGTAAGTATAATTTAAATTTTCTTAATGTATGTGATTATTATTTTTCTGCAATACATTATATCAGTATATGTAACCAAAAAATTGATTTAAAATACTTTTAAGACTTATTATTATACACAATTTAAGATATAGTAAGAAAATGTGAATTACAGTAGAGCGTCGATTTTCCGAATCAATTGGGGACTGGGGTTGTTCGTATAACTGATATTTCGGATAACCGATTTATGTACGAAAAAATAGTTAACGTATCCAATGTTAAAATCTTTATCCGTTGCGTGTCGCTTCGCGTTGAATTTTCGTCGATGTTAAGCCTAACAAAGACAATTGTATCGTTAAAAATTATTTTATTTTGTACGAACAAAATAAATATATTGAAAAATATAAAAACAATAAAAAACTATACTTCAGATGTTAATTTAGTATCAAAAACGTAAAATATTTGAGTAGCCCAAGACATAGCCAAAGATTGAAGCGCCACAGCACTGGCGAAAATTTAAATTTGCCGACTGGAATTCTTTCGGATGATTGACTTTCGG